GCCCTTGTGGTTTTAGATTTAAGTGCAACTTGAAGTTTCTGATCTTTGATGAATAACTTAACTATTAATAGTTAAGATTGACACCGTGTTTTTCGAACCGTTTGAAAATAAATCAGTTCATTCACTTTAATGTAATCTTCTGTTTTCATTCAGAAGAACGTATCTTTAGCCTTTATTGTTCTACAAAGGTCCTTGGGTTTTTTGTTGTTGCTGTTTTGTTTTTTTTATCAACTTTTCTTACAAATTGTGGAGTTCATAGTTGTTATTTTATTCGGATCATAGTTATTGAAAGCCTCACAGATTTTCTAGTTCTTATGTTATCATATAGAACTTGGTATTATAAATGTGTATTTAGGTTTTATAAATGTATGTTAACATTTCCTGATCGTGGCAATTTTCTTCTTATGTAGAACAGAATACTACTGTTGCTAGGGTCATGAATAACTAGGCTATTTAGCCTTCTTTTGTCCATGGCCACAGATGTTAACTAGACAGAATTAGAAAATTTAGATATACTACAGCAAAGCTATCACTACCAATAGTAAAACAGTTTAATGCATATGCCTAATACAGGAGTTAGTAATGTTGTCTTCAGATATATTTATTATTTTTTCCTTTACAGTTATTATTTTTTCATCAAGATGAAATTCATATAATGTAAAATTAACCATTTTATTAAGGTGAACAATTCAGTGGCATTTAAGTACATTCACAATGTTATATAGCCACCACTTTACCTAGTTTTCAAATCCATTCATCACCCCAAAAGGAAACCCCACTTTCCATTCCCTTTTTCCCTAGCTGTTGGCAACCACAAGTCTGCTTTCTGTTTCTGTGGATTTACCTATTCTAGATATTTCACATAAATGAGATCATACAATATGAGGCATTTTGTGTTTGACTTCTTCGACTTAGCATAATGTTTTCGAGGTTCATCCATGTTTAAGCATGCATAAGTACTTCATTCTTTTTATGGCTGAATAATATTCCACAATTGGTTTATCCATTCATTCATTGATGGACGTTTGGACTGTTTCTACCTTTTGGCTGTTGTGAATGGTGCTTCTGTGAAAATACATATACATGAATTTGTTTGAATACCTGTTTAATTTTCTGAGGAATGATCAAACTATTTTCCACAGAGGCTATACCATTTTCTGTTTCTACCAGGATTTATGAGCATTCCATTTTCTGCATATCCTTGCCAATACTTGTTTTCTGTGTTTTGTTTTTTCATTATATCTATCAAAGTAGGTGTGAAATGGTATCTCGTTATGGTTTTAATTTGTATTTCCTTAATAACTAACCACATTAAGGATTTTTTCATGTGTTTTTTGGTCATTTATATATTCTCTTTGGACAAATATCCAAGTCCTTTGACCATTTTTTAATTGGGTTGTTTGTCTTTTTATCGTTAAATTATAAGAGTTCTTTATGTATTCTTAATACTAGACCCTTATCGGATAAATGATTTACAAATACTTTTTCCCATTCTGTAGATTGCCTTTTTACTTTCTTGATAGTGTCTCGATGTTTTTAATTTTGATGAAGTCCAGTTTATTTTTTAATTGTTGCATATACTTTTTTGTCATACCTAAGAATCCATTGCCAAATCCAAGGTCGTGAATATTTATCCTTATGGTTTCTTCTGAGTTTTATGGTTTTAGTTCATATATTGAGGTCATCAGTTTTGAACTAATCTTTATATACGATGTGAGATAGGGATCCAACTTTTTTCTTTTGCATGTGGATATCCAGTTGTCCCAGCACTAGTTGTTGAAGAGAATAACTGTCTTCCACTGAATAGTGTTGGTACTGTTGTTGAAAATCAATTGGCCATAGATATATAGGTTTCTCTCTGGAGTCAGTCCCATTCCATTCATCTATATGTCTGTTTTTATGCCAATGCTACTCTGTTCTGATTACTGTGGCCTTGTAGTAAGTTTTAAAACCACCAAGTGTGAGTTTTGTTCTTCTTTTTCGTTATTGTTTTGGCTATTTGGAGTCTCTTGCAATTCCTATGAATTTAAGGATTGATTTTTCCATTTCTGGGGGGAAAAAAAGGCCATTGGAATTTTGGTAGGGATTGCATTAAATCTGTAGATTGCTTTGGGCAGTATTGCCACCTTAACAATATCAAGTCTTGGGGTCCATGAACGCAAGATTTTTTTTCTATATATTTAGATCTACGTTAATTTCTTTCAGCAATATTTCATAGTTTTTAGTATACAAGTCTTTCACTTCCTTGGATAAAGTTATTCCTAGATGTTTTATTCTTTTGGATACTATTGTAATTAGAATTATTTTCTTAATTTCATTTCCATATTTTCATTGCTTGTGTATGCAAATACTACCATATTTTGTGTGTTGATCTTGTACTTTGCAACTTTGATGGATTTATAACTCTAGTAATTTTATTGTGGATTCTTGGGGATTTTTACTTATTATTTTTGTTTCTTGACTGTTACAGTGTATCTGTGGTCTTTGCTTAGGAATCAGGATATAAAACTATATACAGTTTTCCATTTATAACCTTCTAACTAATCTTGCTTTATACTTGTTCCCTTGCAGTTTGTTCTTCATGTAATAGATAGAGTAGCCCTTTAAAGTAATTGATCACGTCATGTCACTTATATGCAAAACTTTCCACAGGCTTGTACATCAGAGTAAAAGCTTAAATCTTGACAAAGTCCTACAAATTCCTATCTGATCTGCTACTAGCCAACTCTTTATCACTTTACCTCTTGTTCATTCCAATCATAGTGACCTTGGTCTTCTTCCTGGAACAATCTATCTTGAAGCCCTTTGTACTTCCTTCTACCTAGAACCCTAGTCCTCCAAATATTCCAGTGGTTCGTTCTCTATTTCTTTAAGGTCTCTGCAAATGTCATCTCCTGAGAGTCTTCCCTGACCACCCTTCCTAAAATAGCACCTAACATCATTCTTTATCTCCTTGCCCTACTTTGTTTTTTCTTCAAACCCCTTATCTGACATCGTACAGAATAGAAATTTCCTGAAGATAGGTATTTTGTCTGTTGTTCACCACTGAATCCCCAGCTTTTAGAATGGTGTCAGGTATAAAAGGCACCTAATAAATATTTGTCAAATGAATTAATAAGTGAAGTTTCCTTAAGTAAAAGTAAAAGAAACTAATATATACTGAATATTCATAATGAGCCAAACATTATTCTAGGCATTTGATATATGTTATTCACATTTAATCTTCTCAATAAACTTACGAGAATAGGTATTATTCCCATTGACCAACTAGGAAACTCAGACTTAGAAAAATTAAATAATTTGCCCTAGCCAGGATTTAAAATCTGGTCTATAGTACTTGATTCCAAAGCAAAGGCTTTCTGTATGCTGGGGGTTGTTTTGTTTTTTTGTTTGTTCGTTTGATTTTGAGACAGGCTCTTGCTCTGTTGCTCAGGCTAGTGCAGTGGCATCGTCATAACTCACTGCAACCTCAAAGTCCTAGGCTCAGGCAATCCTCCTGCCTCAGCCTTCCGAGTAGCGTGGACTACAGGTACACGCCACCAAGCCCAGCTAATTTTTTTATTTTTTATAGAGATGGGTGTCACACTGTGTTGCCCAGGCTGGTCTCGAACTCCTGACCTCAAGCAATCCTCCCACCATGGCTTCCCAAAGTGCTAGGATTATATGTGTGAGCCATCATGCCTGGCCTATTTTTTAATTATTAAATGTTTTATGTATTTTAGAAAATACAAAGATAAATAATAAATGGTTATTTAAATTAAGTGTATGTTAGTACATAATTAAATTTCAAAGGAGCGATACTATCAATAAATTTTATAATTATTTGGAAAATCATTAGACCAAATGGAAATGTCTGGCACATGGTATGCTAAAAACCAAACACGCTGATTCAATGAATTTATGAACAGGTAAGGATTTGGTTCTTAAATAATAAGTAAAATTTGAATTGGTAGAGAGAAAGAACAAGGCCATTTTAGATACAGGAAATAACATAAGCAAATGTTAAAAGCAAACTTGTTACACAGATAATAAAATTCATCAGGCACTGAAAATTAATGTTTAGGGGTGCTGTGAGATAAATTTGGGGAAAGTGAGTTGGTTAAATTGTGAAGAACTTGAATTGCAAGGCTAAGGTGCTTGAACATTGTGATTATTGGAGAACTGTAGAATAGTGATGATACCAAACATTTGTATAGGCCGATTTATATGGGCAATAGAATGTAGTGCTTAAGAGTGTGAACTTTGGATCAAAACGGTCTGGGTTCAAATTCTGGGTTAGCTCAGTAACCCTGAGCAAAGGACTTAACCTCTCTGTGCTCCAATTTCTTCGTCAGTCAAATGGAGCTAGTTTTTAAGTCAAAGAGCCATTGTGATGATTAAATGAATTATTAAATTATTATATGTGAAAATAATGAGAACAATGCTTTAGCACTAAGCATCCTATAAATATTAACTGTTATCATTTGTATGATGTTTAAATTTTCACATTGCTTTCACGTGTACTATTTCTTTTCATTTTCACAACAACTCTGTGAGGTAGGTATTACTATAATCTGTTTAATGATGGAAAAAACAAAGCCAAAGAGGTTATGTCATGCCAGAAATCCCCAGCTGACAGAACTGATGTTAAGATTCAAAACCGATCTCTTGTTATGACAGGGGGCCTGTCGTCATCTGTGGCAAATGTAGCTTGCTCTTGCTCTATAAACCTATCTTGCTCTTCCTCAATAAACTTCATCTTGTGCTCAAAAAAGAAAAAAAAAAAAGATTCAAAACCATTTCACCATGACTCTTATCATCTAAAAAACTAATGGAACAGTGGAATAACATGCTAAAAGTCAAGTTTTAGGAAATTATTCAAGTGGCCTTCTGCCCAGTAAAATGAAGAAGGGAAAGAATCTGGAGGCAAGTTTATCAGGCCCTTAAAATAATCTAAGTTTAGGTTTCATTTATGAAAAATTTCTATGCCAGGGATATATCATTGAGAATGAAGAGAAAAGATAATTAAAGAAGACATTGTGGATTTTATTACTAACCAGTATATTAATATTCTTTCAGCTGTATTTAAACTTGAAGCAAATAGAAGTATATGGCCCTTGATAAGAATCTATCGGGGTGGCTTTCTTCTGATTGAATTCCTTTTTCTACTGGGCATCAACACGTATGGTTGGAGACAGGCTGGAGTAAATCATGTGCTCATTTTTGAACTTAATCCGAGAAGCAATTTGTCTCATCAACATCTCTTTGAGGTAATCAAAGCAAGACATAACATCCCGCAAATACAGTTTGCATTAGCTGTATAGCTGGTTTAGTGGGTACTTAAATCTATCTTCTACTTGAAGAGGACTAATGACTTAATAACTAATCATTTTTCTTACCTTTGTTTTATTATAGATATTTCTGAGTAATGGTGAAAATAACAGTTTTTTCTCTTTTTGTCTTCCTCATCCTTTACCAGATTGCTGGATTCCTCGGGATATTGTGGTGCCTGAGCCTTCTGGCATGCTTCTTTGCTCCAATTAGTGTCATCCCCACATATGTGTATCCACTTGCCCTTTATGGATTTATGGTTTTTTTTCTCATCAACCCCACTAAAACTTTCTATTATAAATCCCGGTTTTGGCTGCTTAAACTGCTGGTAAGTCCAGAAACTTGTATACCATTTTTAGAGTGGTACATCAGTCATTGGCTTCCTCTAGGAACAAACTAAGGCCGCTGGGTTGAACAACTGCAGAAGGCACTGTTCACATTGTAATTTATGTGAGTAGTGCCCCAGCTTCAAGAGCAAAGAATACAATATGACCAATACCCTTGAAGTTGTTCGATGCAGCAGCCCTGGGAAAAGCACTCATGCATTTTTTCCTCCTAAAACAGAGTATTAAGTGGCCAGATTTGAAATGATTTTGCAAGTTGTAATCATTTAATGAAGTAATAAATTTATTACTTCATTATATAGATTATTTAACCAGCTGTGATAACGTATAAAATTTTATAAGTTTCCTTTTAAAAAAAGTAGTAAAGCTATTGTTACTTTGCCTGTTAAATTGGTATAAATAGTCAACCAAACAATACATTTTAGGAAAGATTTGTTCTCTAAAAGCAGTAAGAATATCTTGCCAGAACACCAACCTTAATTTGAGAAATTGACTTTGATTCTTTTTGTAGTAAGTTTCATTTCTTTTTCGACTTTACTTGTTTCTAATCTCAAAATCACTCAATTATGATAGGATATAGAGTTTTCTACAAAAATGAAAAGCTTTATCCTGTAAAGATAGCTTTGGGAGGGGACTTTTGCTTATTCCTAAATTAAGCCAGCTCTATTTTGAAAATAAATTGAGAATGCTTTCATATAATTATTTCTTAGATTATAAATTATAATTTACAGTAGAGTGAAAGTTAGTGATTAAATTCACCGATCTCTATACAAACTTTCAGAATTGCCAGAATTGTTTTCTCACCTCTTTTTCGTCTGTAAAGATACCTCCTTGAAGACTAGTTTTTATTTCTTTTTCTTTTGTATGCTCCTTAAGATTAGCAGAGTTCTTTTGTTCTTAGTAATACATAACTGAATTTTTAAAAATCTGAAGACAAAATATGGCTTTCTATTTTTTAAAAAAAGGTGGTAAGTACTTAAATAAAAAGCAATATATGTTCTAATTAAGGTAAGTATAAAAATTAGAAAACGAAGGTGGCCCAAATCTCTTTGACTTTTCTTTTCCAAAGTTAATTGTTAGAAAACAATTGTATTTCTTATGGGAATTTCACCTTCCACCAATATTTGAGAATCTCTCTTTTCCCTCCCATTTCATCTTTTTAACAAAGCGCGAATCATTCACTTTAAGTGTAGCACTTGTAGGCCTAAATTTGGGGTTTGGCTTCTGTGTTTGGAACTTAAATGTACAAGAGTATTTTGATTAGCCATAAGTATACCATCGCCTTTAATACGTTTTGTCATCACCTAGCAAGTATGCTTTCTAGAGAAGTTTGTTTTTGAAGACAGAAGAAAAGTTTGATCCATTGTTTCTCTCTTGAGATTTATACTGAAAATTAAATCATTACCAGTTTTTATGATAACTAGGTTACGTTTATTTGAGATTGTCATTTTATTGCTTAGATTTTGTGGAGTTTTTAAACTGTGTTATTTGCATAAAAAATGTAGCATTCTTCTGGCTACAAAGCAATACTTTTAAGATATAAATACCTATTATTTCCTGCCTCAATGAATATGAAATCTTCATAAAGTTATTTTTAAAAGAGATTTTGGAAGACTCAGAAAACTCTAGTGCTATTATGATTGCATAATTGCAATAACAGGATAATATAGTTGTGTGCATTGTGTGCTAAGTGAGCATTTCCCCAGTGCATCCTTCTTTGTTTAAATAGCAAGCTGTGATTCATGCATGACCAGTTACTCTTATTAGCAGAAGGATTCCCCAGTGAGTAGACATTTATCTATGCGTTTGCTGTGTTTGTTAATAAATGAGAACTTCTTAATGGAATAGATTGGCAATGATGATATAATAAGCAGGAATAAAAGAATGCACTATTAGAAGCAGTGAAATACAGAAGCATTGTGGTTTGTAATTTTTGTAATAAGAGTTATAAACAGGAAGAATGTTATTATTTATAGATCATTTTAACAAGAATTGACCTGTTGACTTATTTTAATTCAAATCTCACTGAGAAAACTTGCACTTAGACTTAGTGTATTGCTAGTGAATTAATAAGACTGTTTCCACTCTAGTTCTGTTTTTTTGATAAAGCTTTTTTAAAACCTCATCCTAAAGAAAAATTATATTTCCTTCCTCCTTTGTTTTTCTTTAATTTTTAGTGGGAAAAACACATACGTCATTTGGTCGTAGTGGTAGGCACTGGGTCCCATATATATGCATATTTGTATAAGAATCTATGGAATTAATATATGCTACAGTACCCCAAAAAAAGCTAAAAAAAATTTTATAAGAAATTAATTTATTCTTATATGAACATTATGTGTCAAACTAGTACAAGTTATTTACATCCATTAGGTCATACATCTTCTCCCCAAATCTGTATTGGCCTCAATCTGAAATCCAATTAGAAAGTATAGAATATATGTTGGATTTTCTAAACAAAAATATCAAGCTATTCTTATAGCAGGCTAATTAAAGTCTTTAAATTAGAGTCCTTTGTTATATAATTTAGAAATCAGTTTTTAGCAATATTTTCTTTGGTTGTATACTAAAAATTTCACTTTTTTTATAATAACAGAGTGGTATTCTTATTTAATAATGTATTTTGTATGTATTGATTTATTTAATTTTTTTAATAACCCATGAGGTTGGAGCTGCTATTAATCCCCATTTTGTAAATGAAGAAACCTTTGTTCGGAGAAGTTAAATAATGTTAACATATTCTTTCTAATAACTTATTAGTGGCTTTTTTTGTGTATGTGATAAAACATTAGATATCCAGAATTGTCTCTAGCTTTGATAATACTATATTACTCCAGGGAATTGTGTTATCATTTTAATCAATCATAACAAGGTAGAAGTGGAGAAGTAAAGGCCTTAATCAGAATAAGAAAAGAAAGGAGAAGTGAGTTATAGGCTTCTCAGAAGGAGAATTCAGATAAATCGATTACAAAATGAATTTGACTATGTGTAAATGTCAGGGAGTTAAGTATGATCTATTTATTTTCTCCCTTTCACCCTGCCTTTGACAGGGCTACTTGTTCATTTCTCTGTATTTCCAGGGTATTTTGTATATATCTCTATAGGAGCACATACCATAGGGTGCTGTAATTATATTTTTAGGTATTTATTTGCCCAACTATACTGTGGGTCTTTGAGGCCTTTGAGCGTAGAGACTGTTTTATTTATCCCTATACTTCTACTGTGTCTGACATATAGAAATACTTAATAAGTATTTGCTGAATACATTAATGACTGTATTCTTTCCTTCATTAGTTGTATTATACCAACATTTACTACCCCCTTTCTTCCTCTTTTTGTCTTCTCTTTTTTGTAAATTTTCCCTTCCTCTCAGTTTCTTTTTATTTTCTTGCCATTCCCATCCCTTTCCAGTCTCATCCCTTCATCCCTTTGTTTCTTGTTTAGTGTGTTATTTTCCTCTTCTGCTCTTATGGAGATTTTCTTTATTAGCAGGTTTTGAGGATGGGTTTGGCAGATTGTGAGAGTAATGGTAGTCTGTCTCATGTCAGTTAGAAAGAAGAAATTTGCCGTAGGCTACCAATTTCATAAAAGTCCATGACTAGAGATTAAATTAGACTTCCTGATCCTTCGGTGTTATACTTAAATTATCCTCTTATCTCTGTCTCTGAATCCTTTTAGTCATTCTGCATCCTAGAGTTGCTTAAAATATTGCAAAAACTGTGGCCAGAACTTTTTGTGTGGATAACTACTATCCTACCCTCACCACCCCATCTCAAAAAAAGTTTGCTATATCTGGAGCTTATGGTTGCAAATGATATAGCTTGTCTCTCTGGCTTGTTGGACTCATGGATAAAGTATGGGAGTGATCAAGAGACTGAGCCATGGAACCAAAATATATCAGCTCCAGAAAATAATGTCTCAAAGCCTGCATTATGTCTCTCAGACGCCTGGTTGAGCTTCCAAAGCTCCAAGACAGTACCTTACGTAAATAGTCGACACCCAGGATTAATTCATAACATAGTCTTTCTGAAATAATAAAGAGAACTACTTAGAGAAAGAATAGAAAGAACCAGCCATGTCTGAGGAGAGAGTCATAGACTCCCAGGTTGAACATTTCTTCGAAATGAGTATAGCTAAATGGCCAGGGAGCTAAAGATTTAGACTCATTTTCTCAAAACCGCTGCTTAGTCAGAATTCCTTGTTTCAGAAGTCCCATTTTCTCCTATATAAGGTAGAAGGGGTCTGACAGGATGAGGATTAAGGCTACCTTCATTCCATCTTATTTCAAGGTTTGTCAAGGCAATCTGCCCAATTTGAGCCTATTTCTAGTGAGTGCATTAGTATCTATTATACTTCCCTTCTCTGCGATGCGAGGGTTTCCCTTTGCAGTGGTAAACAGACTTCCACAGAAAAGGTCAGGACAAGTTTGTGTAGGTCTTCTGTAAATGGAGATGTCAATAATACCTAGCTCATAGAATTGTTAGGAGGATTGAGATAATGCCTACACATACCCTGAAGAAAATATACTGCATGGGTTACTACTCAATACATTCAACCTTAATACCTTTATCATCGTTTTCTGAACATTGGGAAGAGGGCTGATTTTTGTGGTGTAGTTTCAAGATGAACATGATCATCACCATGGCATTAGTGAAGTGAAAGTGACTTTGGTTAGAGAATAAGGACTGCTTCAGATGGCATACCATCCTTTCCTACCTGTCCTTTGTAAGCAAAGAAGAGCTTTGCATTCAATTAGCTAAGATAGAGGGAATTCCAGAAATTATCATAGCACTTGCCTCTCCAGCTAAACTTACTTTAGAACCTAACATTAGACTTCCTCTTGGGGCTTCTACCGCTCTCTCTCTGCTTTCAACTTCAACTTTTCCCACCTCTTTGCTTTCTGTTTCCTAACTGTAGCTATTCCTGCCTTTTTCCGTCCTCTATTTCCTTTCTTATTCATTCAGCTCATTCCCTTCACTGCTAATTCTCAACCTGGCCACTGTTGCCAGGTCCCATTGTTTGTCTGTGATTGGTTCATTGGTTTCCATTTTATCAGCTAAAGCAATCATGCTGAATGTATAGACATGAATTAGAGAAATTTAATATGATTTTTCTTCTATGTTTTCTGATTTTTTTTTTCTTTCTCTCAGTTTCGAGTATTTACAGCCCCCTTCCATAAGGTAGGCTTTGCTGATTTCTGGCTGGCCGATCAGCTGAACAGCCTGTCAGTGATACTGATGGACCTGGAATATATGATCTGCTTCTACAGTTTGGAGCTCGAATGGGATGAAACTAAAGGCCTATTGCCAAATAATTTAGAAGGTAGGGTGCAAATTTGCATCCACACTATTAAATTGCCAGTGTAAAGCAAGCAATGTTGGGATTCATAAATGAGAAAATCAAGGTCATGATGAAAACTCTTCCGATAATATTATAAACTTAATTAAATGTTCTTGGCACTCTGTTAGCAATTTCTTTATCTGATATAATTTGGCTTTTAAATTATGTGTCAGGATTTTAGCCATCCATTTGCCAAGAGATTTACAACTTACACTTAAAGAATTCTACAACTATTTTTTTAAAAAAGTTCTAGTACATTGGTAGTTATATTGCAAATGTTTAGTGCCAACAGTTTGTCACAGTGTTGCTTTATAATACCATGTAGATAGCAGTGACCAAAAATACTGATTATTAAGAATTAGATTAAGTGCTTTGAGAAAATCAAGACTTGCTTTTTAATTCTTATTTGGAACCTTGTTTTTCTTCTGGCTCTTTTTCCCACTCTTAGTTTATGCCAGGAGTTCAAGTTATTAAAGAATTTTCCCTTCATGACAGAGATCTAATTTAGACAGATTATGTAACATCTGACTAATAAAAGTTAATGATGAAGCCAGTTCACACATTTTCATTGATTGCCAGTGTATCACAACTCTGTTGTAAGTTGATCACACTGTAATACATAACCAGAATTCGAAGAAAAATTGATTTACCAATTCCATTCTTATTTAAAAACACAAAATCCATTTTTGGTTTAAAAAAAAAAAAAGAGTGGGGCACAGTGGCTCACACCTGTAATCCTAGCTAGCACTTTGGGAGGCTGAGGCGGGAGGATCACTTCAGGTCAGGAGTTCCAGACCAGCCTGAACAAGAGTGAGACCCGTCTCTACAAAAAATAGAAAAATTAGTTGGGTGTGGTGGCGTGCACCTATAGTCCCAGCTACTTGGGAGGCTGAGGCAGGAGGACTGCGGGAGCCCGGAAGTTTGAGGTTGCAGTGAGCTATGATGATGCCGCTGCACTCTAGCCAGGGAGACAGAGCAAGACCATGTCTCAAAAAAAAAAAAGGACCATAAGAGCAAGTACTCTTGGATGTATTATGTTATGGTGGTTTGGAGTTCATGAAATTATCTGGAGTCACCTATGATACTTGGTAGGTTTTCCAGATGTTTCAAATTAAGAGCCAACCAGTTTTTTTCCCTTTGACTAGTGTACTCATTTTAATTTTCTTATAGTTTTATCACACTCCAAAGAAAGTGATTCCAGGACAGATATCCAGAAATCTGAGAGAGCAGATTTTCCCACTAGTCCCCCCTACGTATTTTACCATCTCTCCTTGGCTTATCTACCACTAAAAACCTTGAAAATGTAATAGTTGCAAAGAAGAAAGTGATTCTGAAACTCAGGCTTTTGCTTTTTTATGCACTTGGTAGTGGTTACACTATATGGCTAAATGATGTGAACAAGTTATTTTTTTAATTGTAATTTTTTTCTTCTTTGAAATCTTCACAGAACCAGGAATTTGCCACAAATATACATATGGTGTGCGGGCCATTGTTCAGTGCATTCCTGCTTGGCTTCGCTTCATCCAGTGCCTGCGCAGATACCGAGACACAAAAAGAGCCTTTCCTCATTTAGTTAATGCGGGCAAATACTCCACAACTTTCTTCATGGTGACGTTTGCAGCCCTTTACCACACTCACAAAGGTATTCTGTGATTGGCTATGAAGAGATTTTTCAAAACTTGGATTTTTACTACTTGAATCTTACTTCTTACTCTGGTTATTTTTCCATTTGTCATGCTCTTTGTTTTTTCCATTGAAATTCCAGTTCCCTCAGTTGTACGAGTTTGTTCAACTAACCAACTGGTTAGTCTCATTCCAGTATTTACTGACAGATACTATTGAAAAGAAGCACAGTCACCCAGAGTAAGAATATGTGATGATGTTTAAAATCCTGAATTATGTTTAATGGGTTCGATCTATAGATACCTTGGGTTTTCATTTGAATTTTTAGACTTCCTTGTTCATTAATGAGGTTGCGAAATGGCTAGGTGAAAAAGATTCCCTGTGGCAATCAAATATATTTTTAATCGCTTTCCTTCACGAAGTAGTAAGGATTGTTTCCAGGCCATTTAACTGCAAATTGAGTTCTCTGATCCCTCTAGTTCCTCATCTCCATGGCAACCTGTTATTACTTGAGACTGCTCTTCTGTTGGGAAGAGAAAAAGCTTTTAAGTTCTGAACCACATGCAGTCATTCCTTTTGAATTTTTAACCTTTTTCCAAGAACTGTCAATGATTTAGCTTCCTTTTACTAAAATGCATTCTTTCTTTGTCTATTTAAATCAATATCAGCCCACACCTTAGACGCTGCACTTTTTCATGTGTAGGTGGTAAAGAAGTGTTACTAATTGAAATCATTATAGTTATTTTTAAATACTTTGGTAAAAAATTTTTCAGTGATTTTTTTAAATTGCGAGGCCGTATTTTAGGAGCTTTAGTGCTACAAAATTGCTACTTATCTAAAGTGTGTCTTATGATCATTGAAAGGTTAGGGCATTGCTTCAGCAAGCCTTGAGACTTAGTCCAGCAGAACACATTATAACATACTTCCACTTTTTGCAGTAGATTCTGTGGTTAGAGTAGTATTAATAAAAACATAGCCAATAATTTTACCACCATGTAGGCTCTCTTGTTAAATGATATAATTTAACTAAGTATGTCAGTGGAGGAAACACATCCCCAAAGCTCCCATAATTTTAACTCTTATGAGGAATGCTGTTATTCAGTTCAGGCATGCATCATGATTTAGAAAGTTGTTACTAGTGAATTTATAAATCAGGCAACTGATTTGGTAGATATGGTATTTTATGACTCCTTTTACTAAATTATAAGAACCCTTTACTTTTCTTCCATCCCAGGTAAAAATGAGTGCTGTTTTTTTGGATGAATATTTTAGAACATAATGTATCTTTAACTACAGTTGACCCTTGAACAACTTGGAGGTTGGGGACACCAACCCCCATGCAGCCAAAAATCCACGTATAACTTTTGACTTCCCAAAAACTTAACTACTGATAGCATGCCTTATAATATGAACAGTCAATTAACACATGTTTTGTATGTTGTGTGTATTATATACTGTATTCTTACAATAAAGTAAGCTAGAGAAAAATGTTATTAAGAAAATGTATTTATTATTCATGAAGTGGAACTATTTTTTTTTTTTTTTTGGTGAGGGGTGGGTATCCAAGCACAATTGGTTGTACTTAGATTCTATTTTATTTTATTTTATTTTAAAAATTCAGGCATTTATTTAGAGGTTCTTTTAAAAAGTTAAACAATGTTCATGTTTCATCTGTACATTTTAGTATTATAGAGGTAGATTTTTTTTTAATTTCAGGAAATTATGGGGTATAAACATTTTGGTTACAAGTTATGACTTTGTTTCACCCAAGCCAGGGTTAGAGGTGTGTCCTTCCCCCATACAATGCTCACTGCATCCATTAGTTGTGAGTTTACCCACCCCTACCCCCCCAACACCCAATGAATATTACCATGTGAGCACCTTAGTGTTGATCAGTTAGTACTCATTTGATGGCAAGTACATGTGATGCTTATTTTTCCATTCTTGTGATACCTCACTTTGGAGGATGGGCTCAAGTTCTATCCAGGATAATATAAGAGGTGCTAGATCACCATTGTTTTTTGTAATTGAGTAGTATTCCATGGTATACATATACCATATTTTATTAACCCACTCATGGATTGAGGGGCACTTGTTTTGTTTCCACATCCTTGCAATAGTGAATTGTGCTGCCATAAACATTCAAGTGCAGCTGTCTTTATTATAGAATGTCTTTTGTTCCTTTTGGTAGATGCCTAGTAGTGCAATTGCTGGATCAAATGGTATTTCTATTTTTAGCTCTTTGAGTTATCTCCAAATTATTTTCCATAAGGGTTTTACTAATTTGCAGTCCCACCAGTAGTGTGAGAGTGTTCCTATCTCTCCACATCCTCAACAGCATTTGTTGTCTTGGGACTTTTTGATAAAGGCCATTCTCACTAGAGTTAGGTGATATCTCATTGTGGTTTTGATTTGCATTTCCCTAATGATTAGAGATGTTGAAGTGGAATTAGATCATTACGAAAGTCTTCATCCCTATCATCTTCATGTTGAGTAGGCTGAGGAGGAGGAGAGAAAGGTGAGGTTTGTCTTGCTGTCTCAGGGGTGGCAGAGGCAGAAGAAAATCCGTGTTATCGGTGGATCCAAGAAGTTCAAACCCATGTTGTCTGAGAGTCAGCTATATACTGATACTGTTCAATAAGAAGATGAAAATCAGAATTCCTCAAGTCTATAAATACTCCAAGTCTAAAGAGTTCAAGCTAGAACAGAAGTAGTTTGGATAGTATTTTGGTCTTAAGACATTTTTTGTTCACGTACTTCTTCAAAGAATTTTATAAACTATACTACCTCTGGGACATTTTTAGGTTTACAGCTGAGATTTTTTCTCTTAGGTTTAAATAATTACAAAAGATACCATTTCAGTGTATTTTAAATATTTGCATTTTAACATAAAGCTGCTAAATGTTTCTACTAAATATTAATGTATCCAGGTAATCTAAATAAAAAGCAGTTTGATACTTACCATGATTTATTTTTTAAAAAATGAAACAATTCCACAATAGTCAGAAAATTTACATCTCTTTCCTATTGAACTATATTTTAATGTAATGTATCTTTATTTTAATATATTTTTATGCTTTAAAAATGTATTACTTTTGTCTGCTACATATATGTAAATTGAAATGAAATTATTATTTCCTGTCACTGTAAGGTGCTAAGAGATTGAAAGGGTAGGGACTCACAAGGAGTTCACAGTGCAGGTTGGAGAAAGATTTCTCACACCAGGTGTAGAATAGTTTTAGGAAAGAAAGTTTATTTTACTTTCTTAAGAAAGGAAAAAAGAAAGAGAGAGAGAGAGGCCAGAGCACACGAATAAAGGAGTAGAAATGCCAGGCAGCTGAGGAAAAGCTGCTTAGAGTTTTAAAGGGTAAAATTGGGTTTTTTTCCCTCTGCTTTAGCAGGCTGATAACAGAAGCAGTGGTGAAGTTGTTGCAGGTGTTCTTTATTTTTTTTTTTTTCTCTGTGAGGCCGACTTATCAGAGTCCTTGGAATCTGGTCCTTGCAGGAACTAGGCAGAGAGCTCATACCCCTATTGTCCACTTAAGGCTCTTCAAAGCTGAGAAAACAAAACTCTTAGAGATAACAAATTAGGCCACAGGTGTTTTAATTAAAGGAAAAGGCAGTTCTGTGAGTTTTTTTCTCTTGCTTTCTGTTTGATAGTTTATTTTCCTCTGTTAGGTGGATATTAGTAAGGCCACTTTTCAGAGATTAATTTATTTTCTGTTCTGGGTTATAATTATCATTATCCTGATCATTACATACAATTGACCAAAGCAGCATTACAAATGTATTACAAATTTTGATAAATTATTGCACATAAACATTTCTTTTTTTTTTTTTCATCTTATTAATACAGTATTTATTTACCTTTCCTCTGTCAAACCCTGAGCCAACCACTTTCCCCAGGCTGCCTGGGGAAGTATAGGAAAAGGAACACACAGGGCAGACGAGACACAGGAGAAAGAACTATGGGGAGGTGGAGATGGTTCCTTCACATGGCGAAGAGGATGAGAAAGGCCACCATCAGGCAAAAGAGCCCCATGGCCTCTGAGAGGGCAAAGCCCAGAATGGCGTAGGAGAAGAGCTATTGCTTCAGAGAAGGGTTCCTGGCGTAACCAACGATGAGGCTCCCAAACCCAGTCCCAATCCCAGCCCCAGAGCCAGCCACCCCAACTGTGGCAGCCCCAGCCCCAATGAACTTGGCTGCTGTGTCAATGTCCCTTGAAATGGCACTGGTTTGGAAGCTTTGGCTAGGGACAAGTGAGGTCAGGGGACGTGAGACTGCCAGGATCCTGAGGTTCTCATCTGTCAGTGTTTCTGGTCGTTGCAGCACCACCACAGACAGTGGTCGACTCAGCAGCTGAGAGGTGCTCTTGACCAAAGAGGGGGTGGAGATGAACTTTGAGCAGGCGTACATTTTCAAGGGGTGAGGGGTTGTGGCAGGAGAACTGCTCCCAACGCAGAGAAGACAGAGAGCCACATAAACATTTCTTAAAGAGAAAAATTTGTTAATACTATTCGTTTTTTCAATTTTTATGTAAGTAAACTCTGAGAAATCTTACAGCTATGTAGGTGAGAATGGAAGGAGTTTTGCTGTTACAGTGTCACTCAATTTTATAACTTGAGTGAGTTATGGGTTCTTGCCCCCCAAAATTGCATAATGGTCTATCATTAATAATTATTTTTAGTGATCAAGTTTTCTTTGTTGAAATCAAAGAGTTGAAAATAAACAGAATAAAGCAAAAGAATTGAACATAAACTGAATGAAAAAGAATTTGTTAACCAATCATTAGAATCATTAACTAGCTCAGTTTCTACATAGTAGACCATCATATGATTATTAATTTTAGAGGCTCCTTGTTTAGCCTAACATAAATAATGGTTAGGAAAATTAAATATTGTTAATTTCAATACACATTTGCTAATGTAGTATTTTATGATGAAATGCTTTATCTTATCACATTCCTTAAATGTCCTTTTGGAAAAAATTCTGGAACTGCAGATTACGCTCATCCAATT